GATGGGGACTCTAGGGTTGAAATTTGAGCGATGATAAGTAGCGCGAGACGAAGTTTTCTTTGATCCTTGTTTTTTTTTTCTTTTTTTCACGCTAATATGAACTGGATAGAAAAAGGGACATTTATAACAAAGTACAAATACTTTAATTTTATAAATTTGAGAAAGTAATTTATTGCCAGTAATTTATACTAAGCAAAACTTGTACTCCTTCTATTAATTAAAACTTCTCTACCGCCTTTAATCCAAATTTTTCCTTAAATAAATTGAAGTAAGAATTTGTAACGAGTTATATATTGTTCTTTATTATTAAAGCCAAGTCATAGAGTTCTACCTTGATTAATTGGAATCAATAAGCAATTAGATTTAAAGATAAAAGCATAAAATACTAGAGTAAACGAACTAGTAGCAGTGGAAACTCGTAAGATGCATTGTTTATATATATATATATATATATATATATATATATATATTTGGAAACATAGGAATTTAGAACCTAACGAAGCCTTAAAGATAAAAAGGAAAAAAAAATCTAATTTAATTTACCATTTCACCTTTCCATTGATCAAATATATTAACTAATTAATGACTACCTCACGTGTACATCAGTAAAGTCATTTTGTGTTGTCATCTATCTATCTATATACTATACTAAGACAAAAACTAGAGAGAGGAATCTAAGTCAAGAAGCACATGCAACATAAGATTTTATCCTATGTGACATTTTCTTATTTTTCTAACTATAAAAATGCATAAAACAAAACAATAAAAACCGCAAAAAAAAACGCAACTGAAAAAATTCAAATCCTATATTGATTCGACCAAATCCCTGCAAATTCGATGGATGGATCTCTTCCTCCTAAAATAAAAAACGCAACTGAAAAAGAATTTTATATTAATAATTTATTAAAATAATTAAAGAAGTTAGGCCAACCTGAAACTTCTATAATTTAACTTCAAATGTGGAATTGAGTTAAAATACTATGGTGATGGGTTGATGTAGCGGGGCTAAGAATGGCTCTGACAAATAATAAAAATGCACAAAACAAAACAATAAAAACCAAAAAAAAAACGCAACTGAAAAAATCCAAATCCTATATTGATTCGACCAAATCCCTGCAAATCCGATGGATGGATCTCTTCCTCCTATAAAAAAAAAAACGCAACTGAAAAAGAATTTTATATTAATAATTTATTAAAATAATTAAAGAAGTTAGACCAACCTGAAACTTCTATAATTTAGCTTCAAAAATGGAATTGAGTTAAAATACTATGGTGATGAGTTGATGTAGCGGGGCTAAGAATGGCTCTGACAAAGAATAAAAATATTAAAAGGCTTCAATTATGGCTATTCTTTCTTTTTCTTTTTTAACGTTTTGAAATCCAAATTTTTAGTTTATCTTTCTTGAACCTAAATGGCAAAATGTACATACATTAGAAATAAATATACTAATTTATACATGAATCAACTACTACTCGCTAAGTAAGGAGGTCTCAACACTCGGGATCTCACAAAAATGGTCTGAAGATGGATAGAAAGCAAAATAGCTGAGAAGTTGTTTGTTTTGTCATGCAGAAACGGAATCAAGAAACGGCTTTGAATCTGACGAAATGGTTCTTCTTGAATGCTGATGAAATCATGATTCTAACGGTACTATTTGTTTTGAAATCTAGAATAGTTTGATTATCACCTCTGTTTAGCTAATTGGTAATAAATTTCAAGTTCAGGTTGTGCTCATCATTCCATTGAAAATTTGCTTAGATTTCTGATGCACACTACATTTCAACAATAGTACAGTGACTGTTGAATTGGTTATCTACTTAATTTTTTTTATTCCAGTTTCTATTTCCTAAAAAAATATTTGTATTTTTTAATAAGATAAATTTATTTGTCTAATCCTGTGTGATTACTAAATATTTCGTATTTTCAAAAAATATTAAGGGGTCTATGCGGCTAAATATTGGGCTCTTAATTTTTGGTTCCTTTTTTTTTTCCTAAAAAGAAGTCTATATATATTATAGTAAAGCAAACTCCAGAGAGAGAAAATCTAAGGTATCGTATCATGCCACATATGACTAAATCTTATGTGGCAAATTTATGATTTTTTGAACTAAATTTTAAAATTGTTTTCTTAAAAAATCTAACTTTAATTCGAAAAAAAAAATGAGCAGGATGGATTTGACATTTGTGAAAGTGTCTAGAAAGATATTAGTGAAGAAAGAAATAGGTTAATGATATTCTTTAAGGGTAAAAAAATAGTCCCATCCTCATATTTTAAATAAAATATTTCTGACAATGAGTAAGTTAATTAAAGATAAATTATTAGATAGGTAATGAGAAATAACTAAATCAAACGAACAAATGAGACTAAAAATAAGAAATAAAGGAAAGTGAGAATGCATCATATTTAAAAAATAAAATAATAAAATAAAAACACTGAAAACAAAAGTCACTCCGAGACAAGGAATAAAGGTCCTGACATCAAACTCTTTTTATTTTTTATTTTTATTTTTCTGATTAAAAAATTAGATGGCCTCTACAACAGGTTAGGTTTGTTGTTTTTGTAGTAACCATTCCTTATCATAAACCTTTTCAAAAAAAAAAATTCCTTATCATTATCTCTTAACCACCCTAGCCAACCTTTCCACCCCAGACTATCAATGTAGTCTACCAACAAATATTGCAAGATATATAATTATTTAATTCAAAGTTTTTTTTTTAATTTCTTAACAATCTTTTTTGCGTTAAATAAATTACCAGTGTATTCGTTTGGTAAAGTGTTGCCGATGTTTGTGTGTTATATTTTTCAATGAATTCATTATATATTTTATAAAAATACAAAAATTTATACAAATATTAACATTTTTTTGATTTGCTTATGTAGTAATGTTTATGTATATGTGCTTCCCGTCCGATAACACCTAGTTCTAAATATAGAAAAACATCATAGTAAAGTAAGACTTTTAAATTATACTAATTTAATTATGAGAAAGAAAACCAAGAAAACTGAAATAAACTAAATTTAGAAAACCAATTAGTTTTCTTTCCAAAACGCTGTCTTCATTGCCTCCACTTTGTTGCTTGCTTTTTTACATATTAAAGCACCAGGTTATCTAGAAACTACTCCCAATTTCCTCACTTGTTATTCCCTCGTAATTATGAAACTCGAAAGAATAAGTGAGAGAAAGGAAGAGAAGAAGAAGCCGAGAGAGAAGAAAGGTAAAATGGGAAAGAAACAATATTCCGTTCTGTCACTGTTTAATTCTTGATACCGATAAAGAACCCGCTTGAAGCCTGGCGAAGGAAAAATTTATTTTTCTTCTTCTTTTTTTTTTTAAAAAAAAAAGAAAAAATTTTGGTTGAAATCTTGCAAATTGTACTTAAATAAATTTATGCGAGTGATAATTCTAAAGATTCCGTTGTAGCCTGTCAACAGAAAAACTTTTTTTCTGTTTTATTTTAGGGGGTTGATACAATGCAAATTGTGGTTAAGTTAATCTCGGAGATTCCGTTGTTGCACACTTGCACTGTTTAATTCTTGATAATAAATTTAATTCTGAAAAAGTTGCCCAAACCTTTTTTGATAATAAATTTAATTCTGAAATTAAATTAAAGTGGTGGAATTTTTTTCCCTTTTTTTGGCATATATACTAATTAATGGTAGAACTTTTATTTTTAAAGTTATATCAAGGTGATCATTTCATTTAAATGGTAGATTGTTTTTATTTTCTTTGGCATATTTACTTTGGAAAATTTCTAAGTAATATCAAGGCAATGTTGCAAAAGTGTCTCATAGAACATCTGAATTTCGACTGGTATATTCCAAAGTATTGTTATTGCTCACGTTTCATTCTTGCAAATTCCTACTGAAAGTGCAATAATTTATGTTGTTTGATGCTGTGAGACATTACTTTCTCAATCCAAAACAATTATCCAATTTGAAATTTTATTTTAAGTATAAATTTATATCAGAAATGAAAACCTAAGTTGTAGCACAAATCCTTGTTGAATATGACTAAAAGATTTCTAGATGTGGCTGATTTGGCTAATTGGCTTGTTATTAATCTAATGAAAAAACAAGGTTCCCCGGAGTCATAGCTAATTTGAAGGTCAAAAGATTAATACTTCTTCTATTCCAAAATAAGTGTCGTTTTAGCAAAATGGAGAAATTCCAAAATAAGTGTCGTTTTCGGATTCCAATACATTTTTTGTCAAAAATTTCCAAACATGTCCTCAAAAGAAATAATATTATTGATGAATATTTATTTAATGGGGTTGGTTGAAGATGTTCTAGTAATTTAACTACCATATTTAATATTTTTTAAAACTTGTGCAAACTTTAGAATGACAATTATTTTGGAAGGGAGGGAGTACATACTTTCATGCTTCTCTAGCTACTTTCATTTTGACCAGTGAATGTTAAATCTATTTAAAATGCATTTAATAAAGATGCCACGGTTCTTAGTTTCTTACCAATTGCTAGTGATCGTTACTCGAGCCGGTGAAGCCTCTCTGTAGACTGTATGCTCTTTCTTTCGTGTGTGTGTGTGTGTGTGTATATATATATATACTTATTTGATTATATGATCACCTAGCAATCGACTCGGTATTTGGTGAGATCTCGCTCACATTGTGATTATCCCAAGAACCGTCGTAAAGTCTACAACCTCCTTGCAGAGATGGTCCGCGGCGCCGTTATTGCGTCATCCTTTCAACGTTAGAAATTTGGAGATCTCGTCTCGAATCCATGGTGTTGATTTCAACAAGATGGAGGACCTAATTCCTAAACTGTTTTCAGAAGTATCCTTTCGGAAGGTCTAAATGGGTAGCTCAAAACCATCTTTTCTCCGAAGCACCTGCAGCAGCAGGTTCAGTTTCATCAACCCAACTTTTGCTTCCCGGGGCATTGGCATGTATCATATCTATGTATTGCTTTTTTAGCGTAGATTTTTTTGTATACTTGGATTGGAGTAACGTTTCTTTGATAATTAACGAAAAGTGGGTCATGACTCATGATACATTATTGTTTTGTTTGTTTCTTTTCTGTACACCTAAACAAACATGTTAAATTGACATCATCAGCTGTTGTGCTTGCTGATATCGCAGCACCAGACTCAAAGTTCTAACGTCCTTCCAAAATGGCATCTGTGGTTAACTGTTTTACTGATACAACAGTTAAAGTTTGCCAAGACTTGACAGAATGAGATTAAATAAGGAAAAACCATATTACATTTAAGTCATCAATTCAAATGTCATCAACTGATTGCATGACACAAAATTACAATAAGCTTAGCTACCTATATAACCCTTATTTGTAAACTGGAAATATACAGAGACTTCATTTTGCCCGGAAGAAATGGAACGACATTGTGTCCCCTTTCACAAACTTCCTTAATCTTCTGACTCAAGCACCTGCGACTCTGATTGGTCTGATCCCCGGTGCTGGTCCATGAATACCCTAACCTTAGACATCTTCAGGAGTTATAGATCTGAATTCGATCCCTCAATCTTCGGCATGAAGTGGGGAATCAGTCAGCGTTATTACTGGACACTGACATTAACCAGAAAGATTAGCAATTACAACCAGAACAAACTTCTTTTTTAAGAATAATAATCCATTCATGAACACAAGAGAACTACCAGAGGTCTCCAAGAAAATAGTATCATTGTCGATCATGATCAGCTCTTGAACGAGTCAGGCGCCGCCGCTGACGTCTTCTTGAGTTGAAGGAATGTTCTTCCCCAATATCACTCAATACATTCAGCTCAGCTTCATTTTCACGGCCTTCATCATCATTGTCCTCATCATCATCCTCTTCATCCTGGAGACCTAAAAGGTTCTCACCCCACAGAAAGCGACGCCTGGAGAAAGCTTCATTTGAACGACGGTATCTTGACAGTGGCCTGGATCTGCCTCCTCTCTGCTCAGACCCAGATCCTGCAGAGCCGACCATTTGAAACCAAAAGAAAGTACTCAAAAACCTGCTGCTATTATCACCTGATCCCCTGTCCCGCTCACTTGAGAATCTATCCCCATTTTCAATCACATAATCCCCAAGTACAACAGCACCAGGCATTGCAGAGCGAATTGCGGTTACAATATCATCATACTCTCTCTGGTCCTCTAGGCGACGCCAAGCTCTCTGTCTCATTGGATCAACATCAGCTGGCCGCGCAGTTGGGTGGACTCTCCTAGCATGCCTTCGCAGTTCCCTATAATTGCCAACAAATGAACATGATTCACGAGAACAACAACGAGACTTCAGGTCAAGGTATCTTCTAGCCTCATCCACAACCTTCCAGCCAAATACACTTCCACGACATAAAGGGCACCTCAAATTTGACAGGGACTCTAGTGAAATATCTGTGCTGTTCACTCCAAGTCTAACCCCTTCCACAGAGGAGTCAGAATCTCCAGCTTCGTTCTGGTCACCTGAACTCATCACGTTCAAACTGGATGCATTAACCATATCATTCTGATCTACCAGAGTCAAGCTAGGTGATATATTTTCATCTTTCAGTTTCCTAAAACGATCAAGGCAATTTGAGTGCCTATAACTCGTATCGCAGATAAATGATCTGCAGCCCTTGTCATGGGAACTGCACAACAGAAGAACGGCATTGTGGGGGTGATCCATGCATATTGCACATGAAGCTTCATCCAATTCTTTATAGAGACCATGCATATCTGCATCGTTTGGAAAGCTTCTTTTTCTACTAGCCATCTACGTAAACTGGACAGTGTTGCTAAAATCAAATTGGTTAGCATAATGTTTTCTTTGCAAACCAGACGAAGTTCAAGCAAACTTATGTGTCTAAGGGAAAAACTTAACAACCCAGCAGATGTCTCAGAGAAACAATTTTAAAGAAAACATCACAGACTACCTAAAAGTAAGGAAACAATCAAAGCCACCAATGCCGTGCAAATAGAAAATATAGTTTCATCTAAAACTTGTCAATCAATCCAGACTCAAAGTCTCATCTAACAGCAAGCTCACATATGGCAGAGGTATTGTCTTTCTCGGTGCATTTAAGAAGAATATAAAGGAGAGGCAAAGATCAGCCAAAAGCACTGCTTCGTAATTAAATTACTATATCAGATTCATGTCTGAAAAATGAGCATCAAAACGCGCCATACTCTAAAATCACAAAACCAATATAGACAAGTCCACCAAGCCACCTAATAAACTTTCTTATCTTTGTCATTCATTCCATGATAACAAACATTATTATACATGCTTTCAGTTCGCTTCATATTAAGTAGAGCAACAAGTGAATATAAGACAAATTGTCATTTATTGAGTATATACTCACCAAGTAAAGCACCAAGTTTACTTGCTGGTTGGCCTCTGATTCTTATGAAACTGATCAGAGTTATCAAATCTAAAGCTACAGATTCTTTATGCGACTTTACAGAATAATTGATGGCAATCCTTCACGAGCATTAAGGAAATATTATTCAGTAATCAGTCTTAGAATTCTTGAAGTAATACAGCCTCAGACAAAGAACTAGTGTTTATATCTTGAAAGCCAGTCTCACCAAGCAGTCCTAAAACCTGCATTTATATGGTTCAATAGAAAAGTCATGTGCATAACCTCCAAGTATACTAACATGAACAATCAACAAAATGCAGAACATGGCAGGCGGGAAAAGAGGAATGACGCACAAATCAAGCAAATTAGCACTCTGATAAGTAAAATGCAAGCAAAAGCCCAATCAGAAGATTGTGCGTAGAACATCAAATACAACATCCAAAGGGAAATAAGAGGAAAATCCAATTCTTTTCTTAAACGCAACAAAAAGGAGATTAGAATATCATTAGTATCAACAACAACTTCAAATCCCTTCTTCAAATGTAAACAGCAAAAGATAGAGGGCTCAAATATATCACATATGACATATCTCCTACTGATCAACTCAGGAGCATCTCCCACATCATCATTCACGATTTTAACAATCTTGGCTACAACTCCCACCAACCAAAAGGTCAAAAAATGCCCTTTACCGGGGAAACTAACACTATAATTCAGAAGCTTACCAGAAATTATTCTACTTAACACCAACCCAAATGGGATTTCTTCCAGAAAGGAATAATAACAAGATCGCCCCTTCTGCACCAGGGATTCATCTAATCAAGACAAACCCTAAATCACCCAGTCAGATCAAAACGATCCCGGCTTTATTTCCTCATAAACCCACAAATACACAAAAATACATCATCAAACGCATCATCATCATCAATACACAAAGATCAACGCGAATCTGAGCAACCCATAAACAATTACAAGATCCCCAGTACAAGCAAAAATAAAAAAGCAAAAAGGCAGCAAACTGAGGGTACGAAATTACAATTCATGGGGGGAATTCATCAGGGAAGTGAAATCGGTCACGCGATTGTCCTTAGAAGTAACAATTGATTCTTGATTTATCCCTTCTCGTATAATAATTAGTACGCGCTGTCAATTGTAAATCATTCCTTGTTTGAAATTAACGAAGACAGAGACTTCGGATGAAATTTTTAATGGAGAAGAAAGGTGAGGGAATTTTGGAAATGGCGTTCGATCACATATATAGGTTGGAAGATAATAATAAGAAAAATGGTTTCGGAAAATAAACTGTAATTAATTTTATTTTATATATTTTTCAATTTAAAAAAAGATAAAAGCATCGGTGGGACTGGGGATGTGGTTTATGGTGGAAAGTGGGTAGAAACGTGGAATTTTGGAAGAAATGGCGCAACCAATTTCATTGTTGTTGTATCGCAATTTTTATGTTTGTTGTCTTCCATATATTTCAATAGACTGTATATAACTGCTTCTTAAAAAAAAAAAAAATAAATAAAAACTAAAGATTGTACCTTGTCAAGAACAATAATCACAATATATGTAGTAGTTTTTTTGGTCTCATTTTAATCATCATCTTTATTGAATTAGATGAGTATTTTTATTTTTATTTTTTTGGAAAACAATTAAAGAGTGTTATAAAAGACAAACAAATAGTTATATAGTATAGTACTCCCTCCGTCCCATAATTATTGTCCAATTTGGGTTTTTATTTCTAGTTCAAATTATACTAAAAGTGGAATCTCAAACTGGACAATAATTTTGAAACAGAGGGAGTACATAAAATTATAAGTAACCTGGGAACAAATTACAGTTAGTCATTCACGTCTTCGGATAAATTAAGATTTTTGGTGGTAATTTCTACCCCTCCAGTTCTCATTGTAAGACATTTTCATTTGTCCTAAATTAAATTTAGTATGATATTATAATTAAATAAAATCTAAAATATATTTTTCACATTGATTATGGTCTTCCAAGCATTATAAAATATTTTAAAGATTTTATTTTTAATTTAAAAATGAGTTAACCACAAAACAAGTCATTGAATTAGTGGATAATTTCTTCACATGTCATAATCAAATTTATTCTCGAAATAGTTCACCGTACTAAGCCAGAAATTCATCCAAGGTCATTATACTAATTTTGGCCGTTAAATAGTGGCAAAAAATTATTTTTCACATGCTTTTGGGTCGGATATTTTCGCCATTTTGTATTTTTTAAACTTTTTGGTGGTGCTTTGTTTACACAATTCTTCTTCTTATTATAACATATAGCATATATTATATAATTATAATTGGGGAATGTGGGTTTTTTCTGGTAGTCCCTTCACATAATTCTCACGTGTATTTTTATGTTTTGTTTTAGATTTTAGAATCTTTTTCTTCTTAAACAAAAACTATTGTATCATTTAGTTTTCTTTTTCATATTTTCTCTTTTCCTATTATTTTTTCAACATTTATTTTGATCTTTTATTACAGTTATTGAATTTTTCATCTCTTTTTATCTTTTATTATCTGTTATATGTGTTATACGTTTTATCTTCGTTTATCTTCTGTTTTTTATTATCGGTGTTAAATTTCAAATACATTTACTTTCTATTCTTTAAAGATGTTATACTTTTAATCACCATTGTCTTCTGTAACAACTTCTTCATAAATTTGGTGTTCTTTTATTTACTTTTATCATCAATTATAATAGTTTTTACTAAAACTATTTAAGCACCACATTTCTAATTCATCTATATTGGTTTTCTCTCTTTACCTCTTTTTTATTTATTTCTTATCATTATTTTCTCTCATTTTTATCTTCTTTCCCAAGTTCTTTTAAATTTTTTTTAACAATTTGATTGAGAGTTCAAGTTCAATTTGAATAGAAGTAGCAATTCTCGTGTTTGCCTTATCAGATAACATAGAGTTGAGTTGCAAGATCCAAAATCAGTAAATGAAAGTTGTAACAATAAAATTTTAATTTTTTTTTTTGAAACATGGACGTCTTCTCGAGGTAAAATTTAAGCACTTTATATTTTACAATTCGTGAGCAATAATTTTTAATCTATTTTTTTACTAAACATTTTCAGGCTACAGTCTCTTTTACATAAATATTTCAGGTCATTAAATTATTGCTGTGAATATCAAATGAACTTTACGTGAGAAAATTTATACACCTCTGTTAGTACTATTTTTTAATCTACTATATGTCATTGTAACAAAATAGATTAGGAAAACAAGACAGATGGAGCATTCTTTTGTTGTTTCTCTATTCAAATATAAACATGTCATAGTTACATACTTAGAATTAACATATATTGTCATGTTATCTTATATTACAGCACTCGCGAAGCGCGTTTGATCCATCTAATATTTCCTAACTTGTATATGTTGGTACTACTATAATTACTAAATTTTACAAATTAATTTAACTTTTGTATTAATTTTTAAAATACAAAAAGTAAATTTTGGTACTACTATAATCTAAAATTTAAAATACAAAAGGTAAATTAATTTTTGAATTTTAGTAATTATAGTAGTACCAACATATAATTTATGAAGTATAAGAAAAATAATTAATACTAGGTCTGTATATTTTGAATTCATTGAGATTAACACGCATTTTTTGCTCTACACATTTAGTAAAAGATCAATTTCTATCCCATATACATACTTATGTTTACTTTTTGTTTACCTACAAATTATGCCCAAACAAAAAAGATTTTGTTTGAAAACTCTATAGTCTTCTGTAACATTTTACTATTATATTCTCTGTTGCGTATTCCAACTACTTCCTCTATATTTATATTTTCTGTTAATATATGTAATATATAATCATATTTCATTGCAGATAATTTTTATTTTTTTAGAAAATTATTTTAAAATTTAGTTTTTTATGTCAATATATAATTTTTTCAATAAATTATTGAATTTTTACATCAAAATAATTCAAATAAATAAGCTTAACCTAGAAAAATTAACCCTTAGTTCTAAAATACGTTACTACAAAAGTGATTGTAAATGTTGTAAATAAAAACACAAAATTAAACTTTTTAAGAAATTACTAAAATGTGTAGCATAAAATGTAACAAGAAAGTGATGTAGAGAATCTTGTGGCTATCAAAACAACCTCCCATTTCAAGTCTAAGGCATTTTCAATATCTTATTTTTTTTGCCGTTATTTAGATATAAGAAATCCAAAAATAATTCTTTTAAATTTTACAATTATTTTATTATGTTCAAATTTCTAATTTCTCGATGAATGAAAAAAAATAAAAAAGTTTGTGTCCCAAAATAAAAGGTTTTAAGATGAAAAGGTTATAACATCATATGCATCGACAAAGCGAGTAAATTTAAACTTCCACAAGTCCATCTGAAACAGTTCTAATTACAACTATGAGAATAATAATAATTACAACTATGAGAATAATACACTCAAAGTAGTAGTTTACTCATCATATATTAATGGCCTTACAAATAAAAAAATTAAACTATTTGATTCACTAATGTAATTTGAAAAATTCCATTCACTTATTACTTATTTTAAAAAAATTTATATTAATTTTCTTGCTCATGATTTACATATTAATTGCACGTATTTCGCATATGAGGAGATAAATACGTAAAGATTGAAAAATTTCACCCCTAAAAGTGAGAAACTTAATTCTATCACTTCCGTTGTGAGAGTTAAAAATCAATCTCTATTTACACACAAACTCTGCGCAAATTACGTGCAAAAAATTAAGCACAAAAGTTGGAGATTAATTATTATGGAGCCCCAGCAAAATGGATTTTCAAGTCATTTGGATGGTCTCTTCTCCAAATTAACAGTGTGGAGGATTGGAGTTATGAACTTAAGCTACAATAATCTAGATGGCTTGCAGCCACAAACACTGGGCAACGCTTCATATTTTACATTTTAGATCTCTATGCCAACCGTTTTACTGGCAAAATCCAGGGGAGCTTGGAAATCTGGCACCGCTGGAGTCATTGGACCTCTCCAAGAATAAACTTTCAGGGCCTATTCCCAATAGCATCTGTAGCATGGCAAACCTTGTTTTTCTGAATTTCGCCGATAATACTTTGAGTGGTAGGTAACAGAGTATGTCTAAATCAATCGAGATTATCAATTGATTGGAATGAGGATCTGTGGGAGAATTCCTGAGCTGCAAGTGCCAGCACAAAGGCACTGAATGAGATTGTTTTTTAGAGTATTCTTTACTGAATGAGATTTAACATGAAAACAGTCTTTCCCCATTTCTTTGATTATTTTATTTTTTCTATTGACGTTTAGAGCAAAAAATGAATAATTAATGGTTCTGAAAAAATCTTTGGCGTATAGTTTAGAATCCTCTTTGGGTGCGTTTTATGCAATGGAAAGGGAATGGATATATCGAAATTATATTATGTTTTTCACCAGTACGATATTCAATTAAAAAAATGATAGTAAATCAGATACCAGATGTAATATGATTATGGGATATAAGTAATCTTATATATTTAATATTTACTAAAGATAATCTTATCACCAATTAAATAAAATTTTCAAGAGAATACTTTTTACAAGCCCAAAAATTCTCGCCATATTTTTTCATTTTGCTTCCATATTTTCCAATATGATCTGGTTATGGGGCATTTCCCAATCAATCTTTCAACTTATTCTTTTTCAAAAAAATTCTTTTTTCCTTTTATTTATGAATGTAAAGTTCTTAAACAAAGATGTGCGTAAATTATTATATTAAGATGGTTATTTAAATTCAAACTTGTTTTCTTTCTAAAAAATTAAAATTATTCATGAATTTGAAGATTAGTCAAATGATTTAGATTTCGACATGGCTTTTTTTTATTTGTTTAAATATGGTTATAGGCTTTATTATGTTTGAATTATTTAAGTATACTAAAATTTTGATGCCTCAACATTTCAGTTTCGCTCAATGAGTTGTTTTGAGTTTCATTAACTCAAGGAACCAAAGTTCAGAGGTGCATTATTTTAATATATAATATGACAACTTATATTTGTTCTTATAAAGTGATTCATGAAATAAATATTATCTACATTAATTTTTCTTTTTAATGTTAGTTTTTATAAAAAAATTTAAGTTTATTGGGAATTTTTTTTCATTCTCATTTTATATTGAGGAAAAAAGCACTGTAATGAGAAAGTGATGATGATTGTTTTACATTTCTAAATATTGTAAAGGAAATTAAAAATTATTTCCATAAATTAACTTTTTCTTAACCAGGAATGATATTATCATTCCACCATTCCCTTTCCGGCACACAGAAGGCACCTTCTAGTTCAAAACACTTTAGAGATAAATTAATACTTCTCTTTCAACAAAAAAATAAATAAAAGTAGCATCCATCGCCCCCAAGAAAGAGATAAAACTATGTGAGGAATTGTTGTAGTATTTAGCTTTAGCTTAGCTACTAGATGTTAAACCCGCACGA